CCCCCCCCCCCCCCCGCCGTGTCTGCGGCCCCTTCACCACTAGACCGCAGGCACAAAAAAGGCATAGATTCTTTCAAAAAATACGACATAAATGTCCTACACTCGTCTCCACCTAAAAAACGTAAAAAAAATCCATCGATGAGGAAGTGCTCCTTTCCACCACGTGTACCACCTCCCCCCCTCCTAGCCCCTACTCGTGCGAAAAAAACATCAAACCCACCTGGCGATTGGTCGCCGAGTGGAGGCTCGTCGCAAAATAAACCAGAGGAAAATAAACGCCGAGAGGAATAAAAAAAAAACTTCACACTCGAGTTATATTATATCTCCGTCTCTCCTGGTGCCGCAGCCAGACGTGTATATTCGAGTTAAATTGAAACCGGCCAGTGCACTCGTGGAGTCGTGCGTGAGAGTGTCTCTCTCTCTTTCTCTCTCTCTCTCTCTCGATTAAAATACAGCATAAAACCTTGGATCTAGTGCACATCGAGGAGCGATCAAAAAACTGTAATGAATTGTCTCAATGTTTTTTTGTTTCTCCGTTAAGTGATATGACTCGGGAAAACGTGTAAACAGTCGTGTTTTGATGGGTTTTCAATAAGTGAAGTGGAGTGAAAAAAATCTAACCGCATGTTTCGTGAACACGTGGGCAATTATATCAGGAGTGATTGGGAATAGTGATAAAACGTGAACTATCGGAGATTAAATTGCGTTGGAAAACGTGGAATTCACGGCAAGGGTAATGCATACGTATTAAACATAACCTTAAAATTGTATTTGATGATGTTATTGAGTTCATTACGACGTAATTTTGTCGGCAGTGATTGATTCATTTGGTTCTTTTGTTATTCGGGGATCATCTGATTGTTTATTTCGGGGGGATTGTTTGTCAGAAAATCGGGGGCTTTTTGCGTGAATTAAATAAACACGTTGCGTCATCTCGGTTATTATTGGAGTAGAAAATTTTTGGAGCGGTTTTTGTGATTTGTTTATGCCAGGGAGGAGACTTGATCTGGTATTTGCGAGGGGTTAATGGAAAGATGTGGGTGATGAGAGAATTGAAGATGGTCTGGGGTTTTATCAATTGATTTGACGGCTTGTGCGATTGTGATTTTATTAGCCAGTGCTCACGGCGGCCTTGTCGCTAATTTTATTCGTGATTCGTTTAAGGGTCATCTTGGTTCTTTTTATTTTATTTAGTTGGGGAGAGTGCAGTTGATCGTGATATGAGGTATCTTGTTTTGTTAGTTTTCGTGTTTTTGGTGGGGCGGGGAGGGGAGAGAGAGTTGTCTTTGTATGGATTGTTTAATGGGAATTGTTTCGGTGATGAGTGGTGTTAGGAAGAAACTGATGGGAATGTTTTTTGTGGGGAATTTTGCCAGCTATAGAAAAGGTTCTTTGAGATTTTTTGATAAAATGAGTAGTTTTAGAGATTTTTGCAGAATAATCGAGACATTGGTTTTGTATTTTTTGAAGAGATGACGATGGAGGATTCTTTATATTAGAATTTTCATGGTAACGCGTGACAGTAGGGATGGCAATCACGAGGTCTTTTTGGAGCTCATAAAATTCTTCGCCAAAAAGATATTTTATTTATTTATTTATTTATTTACGTGTTTCAACACGAACCCTACAGCCGAAGCTAATAGCAGGATTCATTACAAACCAGATAAAATGTCGCATACATTAAAGATAAAATAAATAACTATAAATTGTATTTTTTGAAGAGATCAGCAGGTCCAAGATGGCATGCACATATGCAGCGGTATTTATAGTAACGCTTTTACGAGATCATACGCTTTTTCAATAATTACTGTGATTGAGTCATTAACAATGTTGGTACTTGGAAATCTTTTTACAAGGAGGTTCACACCAACAGCCGCATTAAACACTGGTGAGGATAATTCGAGATTAGTATCCGGAAAGGGGAGGTACATGGGTGGCACAAATCTGAGATCGCGTAGAGGAATATTGATGGGGACTAACCCCAGAAGATACGAACAATCAATGTTGCCCCTGATCAGCTTGACTAGAAATAAGATCGCAGTGTACATCCTCCTCTGTTCAAGAGTTAAATATTCAAACCGAGAACAGAGCCGATATTTTGATTTTTTTACTTTAAAGCCACTGGTTCAGAAGATATTCGAGAATTAATCTTCATGTGATTTTGTTGTGTGTTGTGTTCTCTTGGAATTTGGATGGGGATATAACAGTCGATAATAATATTTAGGTAGTCAATGGATGTGTGATTTCAAGGGAAATGTCTGAGGACGATTTATATGAGAAATTTTGTTGGCCACAAAAGAGGTCTTTTGAGATTTTTTGATAAACTCACTAGTTTGGAAGATATTTGAGAATTCATCTTCACGTGGACTTCTTTGAAATTTCGTTTTCCGGATTCGTAAATGAGTGAATAATATGGAGGTAATCAGGGTTGAGCGCGTAAATTACCTCGGCGGTTTTTTTACCTTTTTTACATTGCATCGAAAAGCTTGCAATTTTCGGTTACTAGAATGTTTTATTTCATTCCGACTGACGAAGACGCAGTATTGGACACATAAATATCATAAAAAGAAGTGTATTATGCCCCGAAAACAGATAAACCGCGAATTTTATCTTCACTTTGTTCGTTCAGAACGCGATTCTCGGCAGTTGGAGCGTAAAATATTATTTTATGTTCCTGGGACCGTAAATCCGCGATTCTAACCTCAATTCCCTCGGATAAATCGCGGTTTCCGGACCCAGAGACATAAAATATTGTATGTCACGCGGCGATAAAACTATTTCTTGACTCATGTGATTAAAATCCTCGCCTTCGGCTCGGATTATAAAGTCACATTCATTCGCCAGAAAATACTTTTATCGGCTGTTGACATAATGTACTATTACGTCACGTGGTACAATTCACGGCATTTTAAGAAACTTAAAAACGTGAGCCTCACACCTCATAAAGAGTGAATTTCACGAGAGACAAACCCTGCAAAAGACCAAAGTCACAAGTCATCTCCATTGTGAGAAAGTCAATCTCACTTTATTATTTGGAGCCCCGGAAAAGCCCAGTTGCATCTGAGAAGAACCATTTTGTTCTGAAGAGTTCAAAAAATCTACCAAAGACAATTGAATTAGTTTTGTCGTTTAAGAATGCTGAACGAAACAAGTTAATGTCAAGACAAAAGACGATGACGCGACTAATTCCATAGAGATCAATAAATAATCAGATTGACCCTTGTAAAATTCACCCCTTACACGGTATGACCCTTACGAATTTTAAGAAACTCAAAAACGTGATCCTCACACCTCATAAAGAGTAAATTTCACAAGGNGTTTCCGGACCCAGAGACATAAAATATTGTATGTCACGCGGCGATAAAACTATTTCTTGACTCATGTGATTAAAATCCTCGCCTTCGGCTCGGATTATAAAGTCACATTCATTCGCCAGAAAATACTTTTATCGGCTGTTGACATAATGTACTATTACGTCACGTGGTACAATTCACGGCATTTTAAGAAACTTAAAAACGTGAGCCTCACACCTCATAAAGAGTGAATTTCACGAGAGACAAACCCTGCAAAAGACCAAAGTCACAAGTCATCTCCATTGTGAGAAAGTCAATCTCACTTTATTATTTGGAGCCCCGGAAAAGCCCAGTTGCATCTGAGAAGAACCATTTTGTTCTGAAGAGTTCAAAAAATCTACCAAAGACAATTGAATTAGTTTTGTCGTTTAAGAATGCTGAACGAAACAAGTTAATGTCAAGACAAAAGACGATGACGCGACTAATTCCATAGAGATCAATAAATAATCAGATTGACCCTTGTAAAATTCACCCCTTGCACGGTATGACCCTTACGAATTTTAAGAAACTCAAAAACGTGATCCTCACACCTCATAAAGAGTAAATTTCACAAGGGACAAACCCTGCAAAAGACCAAAGTCACAAGTCATCTCCATTGTGAGAAAGTCAATCTCATTATCTATTGAGCTTTATTGGGTGCTCCACTTTATTATTTGGAGACCCGGAAAAGCCCAGTTGGACCTGAGAAGAACCATTTTGTTCTGAAGAATTCAAAGAAGCTACCAAAGACAATTGAATTAGTTTTGTCATTTAAGAATGCTAAACGAAACAAGTTAATGTCAAGACAAAAGACGATGACGCGACTAATTCCATAGAGATCAATAAATAATCAGATTGACCCTTGTAAAATTCACCCCTTGCACGGTATGACCCTTACGAGGTGTGACCCTCGAGACGTACGATCCTGGCGAGGTATGAACCTCGTGATTTATCACCCTTGTAAGGTATAATCTTCGCGAAGCTTCACGGTTTACGATAAAAGGTAATGTCGGCTGGTTTGTTACATTTTTTATATTTATTACGTAAATGACGGGTTTTTAACAATGTCTTGTAATCAACTGCGGTTATCGGCAGATGCCCAACCCGGGAGGTCGTCAATAGGAGTAATTAGACTAGTGTTTGAATATCGTTGTGTCAATAGGCATCATAATGAAATAAAAAATAGTAGGATTGCAAAGTTGATAGGAGAAGAGTAAAAAAGAGAATTGCCGTCAACTTGGAAATGTGCAAATCTTCATTAACACTTCTGATTCGAAGGAAGACGAACGGAATTCAATAAAGGCCTTTTTGTGCGGAAAAATCTCGCTCAAATAGAAATGAACTTGTATCATTCATTGAATTATCTATTTTTTATTTATGAACATTCAAGTCTCGTCAAGAAATAACCATGCATGATTTCGATGAATGATGAACAAAAAATACAAGCGCAAAATGAACAATAAAAATATAATTAAATTCTGAAAAAATTCCTAAAACCCCATTGTTCCCTCATTGAGATTCCGTACGCAATTCTCGATGCATTATACCACGTTTCTGATGCTAATAGCGCGGAAAAAGATGACGAATTATAAAGTAAAAATAGGCAACGAGATGGGAAGAATCATTCACTGTTTCATAATTCGCATTTATTCAGTTCATTCAATTCGATAATAAAAACCAGGTCCATAGTATCCATCAACAAACTACATTAACCATTTTCATGAATATTTTTAGTTAATGATAACCAATGCATTCTGAATGAAACAAGCAATGTTAACGAGGTAGCCTTGAGGTGAAATGTCCCGAAGCCTGCCAGATAGAGTGGCAGGGGTGTATTATGCCCATGGCCTCTTCTGCTCGTCACATCCAATTGCAGTTCTTTCACTGGCAATTACAATCGTTATACTATGTTGGTGAGTTTAACTCAAATATCTAATGCTTCATAAAACGTTGTACGTGAGGTAGAAGATTTATGAATTTATACATGTGTATTTGTTTTTTTTTCTCAGTTATCCACTTGTAAATCTTCCTATGCCTGGGAATGCCCCAAGGACAGTGATAAATCAAACAATTTTTCTTTGCAATGGTACTGAGACTTCGTCACTTTATGTTCAGCAAGTTGTTCTGAGAACTGGAGTTGTACCATGGACCAACGATCTTGCCTTGTCCGATGCCTTTCGAGGACCTCTCTACGAGGTCTTCAATCTTTTGGAGATTATACAGAATTATCAGGATCAAGAGACGTAAGAATGAAAGTTTTGGCTGGCGAGGAGTTTCCCTTTCATTGTGACCTTTTTCCTGTCAGATTCGATAGCCTTTTTTCAGTTAATTGTTTATAATCATTCTCATTGCGAAAAACAATACGACCAGTGAGGATCATATGTCTCAATTTATCAGATGTTAAATGTTTATACTACAATAAATGATATGCTCATGCTCAAATTCCTATGCTCACTGAATAAGATTTCGATCATAGTTACAGCTTAATTCCTTCTAGAACACACTTTAGAGTGTGAATTCCTGGAATTCGATGTTTGTTTTCCATTTTGGTTTTTTTAGATTTTGATGGTACACAATTCGATGATGATTCGAGTTCTACTTCTGTTTTTGTGCTATCGATTAAGATTTATGATATTGATTTAAGATGCTAGCGCCACCTGATGTCCTTCCATTATGCCCTTTCTCCTGCCAGATTCGATAGGCCTTTTTTCAAGCGATTGTTTATAGGCATTCTCATCGCAAAAATCAATACGGCCGGTGAGAATCATATGTTCGAATTTATCAGATGTTAAATTTTCATAGTACAATATATGATTTGCTCATGCTGAAATTCCTGTGCTCACTGAATAAGATTTCAGTCATAATTACAATTCATAACACACTTTATTGTGAATTTCCGGAATTCAATGTTTGTTGATACTCTGGTAAAAGTGCGTGCCCATACTAGTTTCAATTTTTAGTTAGTTCACACGGTAATTCAATTAATCTGTTGTTCATCTCGTCAATATAACTTTGTGCCAAATTAAAAATTAAAACTTGATTTGGAATATTGAGCCACAGCTTCTTTTTATTCATATCAGAAATTTTGTTTTTGAATATTAATATTATTTGTTCAAAGTGAAAAAATTCAATCATCATTTTCACTATATTGCATTAAGATTCTCCTATCCTTAAGGTAAAAAATGTGAGATAATCTCATAATTCTAGCTAGTAATTCTAATCAACTTTGTTCGAAGACAACCTTAGTAAACGCAGTATTAATACTCCGTTGGTCGCGCCGTAAGTGCCGCGTCGCACCAGCATAAATCGACATAATGATAAATTTGAAAGATCTAAGAGAAATCCGAAAAAAATAAAGAGTGATCTAGATCGTATACTTGAAGAAGTCCCGTGAGATTTTTTATACTCAGTGCTACCCTTAATTATATGTTCAAGCTCAAAGTCGCCATGTTTTTCTGAAAATTCGCCTTATACACGGTACACGGCCCGGAGTTTTGGAATACAAATTTGAATATTTAACTACTTATGAAATTGTTGGGGGATATTTTCATTGATAGGGCTTCTAGATTCTTCAGAATAAGATGGCCAATTTTTTCAAATTTTTCTGTGGCTTTACTGCCGTGTAATTTAAAAAATCGGGATAAGTGCGGCGCGGCGCTCATAGCGCAACCAATGGGAGTGTTAAGAAACCGCCTTTTTTTCATTCGTTTGAAATATCCGCCATGTTCGAGTTCTAATTTTCGATTCTAGATAGTGCCAATTCTGTTTTTTTAAAGATCCATTCCGATCGTCGGGAAATATCTGTCGTAGTGTATAAAATTATTTAGGAATAAAGTCTGAACATACCGCCATCATCGCTCATTATTGCGACGGTTTGATGACTAAATAATGAATAATTGAAGAAATAAAAAAAAAGTCACTGACTTTTCCAAATATCTCAGAAGTGAATAGATTGGGAAAAAATTTCAAAGGACCCTTTTCTAAATCATGAAATTTGTTGCAAATAAATGTATTTCATTTCTCTTTAAGATCATCATGGCGATAATTTACTTATTACAAGCAACATGTGAAAAATTGAAGTTAATATCTCTGAAACTGAAAGAATACAAGAATAATAATAAGAAGCGATTTCATAGACGCCTCACTGAAAGGCTCTAAACCCCTTCCATTCGACGATGTTATGAAAATAAACTGAAAAGAGAGTAAAATATTTACAAAATAAAACATTTTAAAACTAACTCATCACATCCTGTTTTCAATTAAAGGTTAAAAACTCTCGGCCAAGTATGTTTACACATAGAGGCGGTAAAAAAACGCAGTGCAAATGCAAAACAGCCGGAGATACTTCCTGAGTACAACTGTTTAATTCTGTCACCGGCAAATCTCTGGCAACAGAGCATCGAGTTATTCAATCAGGACAATGACGTAATTGGCACGATATTCTCATACCAAAATCTTCAGAAGGGGAAAATAAGCCTTGCTGAGATGCTATTCGGTATGAATCTCAAGGAAACCGGTGTCAAACGGTATCCAGTGCGTGTGAGACAGAGAATACTCCAATACGCAGTTACCATATTCCTCAAGGAGTACGATCCTAGGTAAATATGAGGACGACAACGTGTTGAGCAAATATTTATGGTTGGAAGAGTAAATCAACAATGAGATAATATGAAATTCTAATTTAGAAGAATCATTATTAAAATTTAAGGAGGAAAAAGATGATAAACCATTCTATTTCACAATTTCAAGTGATTAAATCAATTTTTTGCATCAGTTCACAGATTAATTCATCAATTCCATTCGATAAATTATTTTGATCAATCAAATTTCAAGTTTCTAGTGCATTTGAATGTCGACAGACATTTTGCATAAATTGAAAACAAATCTGCGAATTACTGAATCCATCTCTATTCTCTCCACATAAAAAATACATGAAAAAAAAAATCCTAAATTAATTGATAAAAATTAGCAATCACTTCGACAGTCAATAATTGCTCCTGAAAATTCTACCACTATTAATTTAATTGTCAATTATCTCTCAATGCTGATTACCAAAAGCATAATTCCACCAATTTTTAAAGAACATTTGAAAAAAACTACTGAAACCAATTAACAATTATTAAGAAAACATTCTCTCCTCTCCAGATTCATCGAAGGATTAAAAACCAGGTTGACAACCTACTACTCCCTCCACCAGCCCCAGAAAACTGAGAGCCCCCAGCAGTCCGACGAGACCCTGCACATCTTCTACCCAGGTGAATTCAACTACAACGACTTCTTTCCCCTGATGATGACGTTCTTCGCCCTCTTCGTGTACGTCTACTTCTCAGTGAGAAAGATCGAACTGGTGAAATCGAAGATCGGGGTTGCCTTCAGTGCCACTGTCACCGTGATATCATCCCTATCGATGACAGTTGGTGTCTGTTTCTTCTTCGGACTGACCCTGAGCCTGAGTGGCAAGGAGATCTTCCCCTATTTGGTGGTGATAGTGGGTCTCGAGAATGTTCTAGTTCTCACAAAGAGTGTGGTGAGCACCCCAGCCCACCTGGACGTGAAAATCCGAGTGGCCCAGGGTCTCTCCAAGGAGGGCTGGTCCATAACGAAGAATCTCCTCACAGAAGTGACGATTTTAACAATAGGACTGTTCACCTTTGTCCCAGCAATCCAGGAGTTCTGTATTTTTGCTATTGTCGGTCTTCTGAATGACTTCTTCCTCCAAATGGTCTTCTTCTCAACGATCCTGGCCATGGACATTCGAAGAATGGAGCTGTCCAGTGAAAATTCACGATTTCAATTCACTCATATTGCTGCAACGAGAAAGCAGTTCACAACGACTGTGCCGAACAAAAAACCCAATTTCTTCAGGTCAAAGTCTCATCCCAGGCTCAATGGGATGACGGGACCGACTAATGTCATTGCTCCAACTAGTCAGAATACTCAGACTTTGGTGAAGATACCGAAGAGGCTGAGGCTCGTCCATTTCTGGGCGAGAACTAGGATCTTTCAGAGGGCCTTCATGGTGTGGATGGTCGTGTGGATCAGCATGATTATTTATAACTCGGGGATCATCGAACATTTGATTCATCTCAGTGACACCTTGAAACCTGATAGCGAGATTGAGAGCTATACGGTTGATAGACCGCAGACTTTGAAGAGTTATGTCGAGTTTAAGACGCTGAAACCAGTTGTTGTTACTACTTCTACGAGTGCGCCTAGTATTGTTGATGAGGTGAGTGGGGATGTAGGAGAGATGAGGGCGTAGAATTTGTGGAAAAATATTTTTCATTTTGTGACCCGAAGGGAGACAAAAGGGATTACTTATTGTAATGATCCCGAAAATCGAATCTGGAATTTCCGTGATTCCCTCATACCTCGTGATCTTTAGAATCATGCTGATACGTTTCCGAAGACATGTCTATGTGTGTGTCCAATAATATCCTGAACATCCTTGTCCTTATCGGACTACAAATGCCAAATATGTTCCGGAAGCTAATATCAAAAAATTGAATTTCAACACTTGAATGTAAGATGATTGAATAATTTATCACTTTCTTGCTCTCAACGCTCCAGAAAAAATTCAAACCGTAGTTTTTCCCTTTTCATATCGCCTATCCATAGTTAAATAACTAGCTTCCAGAAAATGTGCAAGAAGTAACGTCAAAATGAAGTAAAAAAAGTTGTTGACTTCTTGTAATATTCATGAGTCATGATGTTTGTCGTCAGAATTGTGATGACAAGATTAAGAACGTCATTCGGTATGCAAGCTTTTGAATAGAGAGAGGAAAAATTTGAGTGGATGGTTAGTCTGAAGTAGCAGAACGATTCCATCGTTTATTTTGGAATCGTTTTTTAGAATTGTTTTTTATTATTTTTAATGTCCCTTGATATTTTCTCCTAGCGCACTGTTAAAAAAGGATTTGAAATTTCATGGACAGTTGATTAGTAATTTTCGTAAAAGTGAAATTGGATTTAATTCAGGGGGAAAAATTTACCAAAAATTTGATTAATTCAAAGTTTTTGAGCAGCAAGAAGCCAATAATTCCCCAATTCACTTAAATTTTAAATTAAAACATCAAATTTGAAACTCTCAACTGAAATTCAGAGTTTCAAATGATTTTTCCATCAAATTTTGAATTTTCAATAATAAACTTCCTCGATATTTCAGTGGCACTATAATGTAATTTTTAAAATTTTTTAAATTTTTTTTAATCGTTATTTTACATCGCTTCGATCCGGTTAGGGTATACTGCGATGATGATCAAGACTTTAAATGGTTAGATCGCACCATTCTACCCGGCCGGGATTTGAACTCGGAACCTTTCGCATGTGAGTCAACGAACTTACCCACTGCGCCAAGCCACGGGACAAATCATCCAAATATTTCTAACAGTGATACCACTCATTGTCTGAATAATTAAACAAAAAATATAGTAAAATTTTATGAAATACGACATCTCTGCTAATCGCATAACTATTTCCGGTATGAATATATTGACAAGAGATCGTCAAGAGATTTTTTTTTCGTACATTGTAAAATTCTGTGAAAAAAGATCTCTTGACCTTACACTTAAAATCCCTCTCGATATTCGTGAAATATTCAATCTCAAATATTTGAAATTCAAAGGAAGTTTTATCTCATTTCTCTGCATCTAATTACTCATGCGTTATTGTAGCTCTGAGTTTAATGAATTCTCACATTTTACAGCTCCCCAATCCAAATAATATTACCGAAGAGCTGAAGAAACTCCGTCCAGTAGACTTTCCACCATGGAATCGCCTTTCTTTATACCACTGGTCTTCTATCCTCATGATGTACAATATCTCAACAGCCGGTGAACAAATAACAATTCTCCCAACTATAAAAATATCCCACCCAGTGAATCCCCAATTATCACGACAAATCAGCAATCCAAATGATGTGCAGCATTTTCAATGGCAGAGCTTGGCAACAGCTGCCCTTGATCCCCTGGACTTTTCAGGTATGCTTGACGCACTTACATGATTTATTCAGTATATTTCAAAAACACTGACATCAATGAAAAATTATTAGAAGAAATATTCAGTGAGGAGAAATCATTAGTTGAAAGGTAGAGGAGAGGAGACTGCTGTGAATGGTTTAGTTAGTTTCACTTAAGAATATCTTAGAAACGCAGGAGTTTGACAAAAATTTATCAAGATTTTGTGAGCTATAATAACAGTTTATCGATATTTTTTGTTAGATCTGATAATTTAAAAGATATTTGAAAGATTATTCGTGGGAATTTTTTAATTCATCTGATTTTTTTTTCTCGAATTTGCTTTTTAGTTTATTCTGTAAATATCTCAGGAATGAATGAGTTCAGAAGTCAACTTTGAGAGTACTTTTTTCTAGAAAATTTATTTTTTTACGAAAAAAGTGTTCCAACATTTTCTTCCGCAACCACTCGTCACCAAGATACTTGCAAAATAATTTGCATTGGATTCTCATTCTCTAATCCCACCTATTCCTGAAGTATATGCTTAATAATCAGAATTTAATTTCTCCAATTCACTCCCTTGAGGACGAAAATTCCCAATTAACTCCAATTTTCCTGAATTAATCATCATAAAATAATTGACTTGAAATGTAGTTTCCATTCACTTTTTCCTGAAACTTTGACCTTTCAATGACGAAATTCCTCTAAATTTGAGTGTCTCTATGTGATAAAAATTATCATCCCACGCGTGTACCGGAAATTTCAGCCAGAAATCCCTATTTTCACTATTTTCAACAGTGTGTACCACCTATCCTTCTTCCCAATAAACCTCTCAACATCTTCCTCTCTCCCCGCACCCTCCCCAAGCTAAAGTCCGGTTCACCTCACCCTCTGAGGCTCATCTCACCCCTAATTTCAGATATCGAAGTCCCGACCAGATCCGAAGGCCGTGGTTTCAACACAGACACCCCCTTCGTCCCCTCGAGCCCCATGGAGATCTTCCTGGCAGCCCTCCTCTGCCTAATAAGCGTGATAGTAGTCGCCTACACAATGGTGGTTCTCTACCGCTGCATCTGCACGCGAAACTACGCAGAATGGCGAGCAAGCTGGCACCAGCAAGAGAAATCCCAAGACTCCTCCACAGAGCTAGTCCTCGAGGCCCTCCCCATAGTCCTCGAGGGTCACTCCCAGGAGGTCGAGTGCATTGCCACAGACGGCGACACAATAGCCAGCACGTGCCTAGCTGGTCACATAAAAATCTGGGACATCACCACTGGCGACATGCTCGCCCACATCGACCGAAAGAAGTTCTTCAACTCTAGCCAAAGGGACTTGATCAACCCGACTCCTGATAACGAGGAATTAATGTCGGATTACGAGAGTGGATCGCCCCCCTCACGAGGAGAAATGGATAGCACCTCTTTCGGACTTTACTCGTCACCCGGGGGACGACAGAAGTACTCGCCAGGGGGAACACTCCACAGGAGCTCTCAGGGGAGGAAGAGACACTCGATGAACTCGTTGGACTACGACTACCAGATCAACGATTACTCCAGTGACAAGAGGAAGATCTTCACGAGGAACATCAACTCCTTTGAATTTCCCGATCTCAGGCCCTCGATCAACACAAAATTCTCAGCCATGAGGTTTCAACCGAGGCAACAGTGCTATGAGAATGGCTTCGATTTTGGTAATGATTATAAACGATTGTTCGAACAGTTCAGGAGTTCCATTGATGATGTGGACAAGTGTGAGGGAAGTGAAGTGATGAATAATTGTGGGAGACTTGGGAAATTTGAGTTGAATGACAGTGCAACGTCCCTGAGCACTGATAGAACAGTGCAGAGTGTGCAAAATGTTGCGCCAATTTGGTGCATTGATTATCAGGAGAATATTCTTGTAGTGGGGTGTGCCAATGGGGTGCTGGAGTTTTGGGAGGGAAACACTGGGCGGTTCAAGTGTTTCTTCGATGATGGGAGTGGGTTGGGGATATCTTCGGTGAAGATGGTGGGGTGCAGGGTCGTGGCAGCTAAGTTGAATGGGTCGGTGGACTTTTTGGAATTGGAGAGGTACAGTGAGGGGCATCAGATTGATTGGGGCTTCACGTCTGGGAGGAGGACGCATGTGAGGACTGGGAGTGCTGGGTCACCCATGGATATTGGGGGTTCTCCACATGTAGAGGAGGATCTGAGGTGCCTCAAGAAGGGCTCGCACAGGGCGCATCAACAGGCTATCACGGTTCTTGATAGCGAGGGGGGACGAGTGCTTACGGGGAGTCAGGATCACACACTCAAGGTTTTTAGGTGAGTTGCTCTTGATGCTCTTTCATTGTGCCCTTTTTCCTGACGGATTTGATAGTCTTTTTTTCAATTAATTGGGTGTTATCAGTCTCATTGCAAAAAGGAATTGGAAGAAGCTATTAAAGCAGTTCAATTTTTATATTACAGTAAGTGATTTTCTCATGTTCTGATTCCTATGCTGACTGAATAATATTTTAATCATAATGACAATTCAATTGCTTCTTGTCCACACTGTTATGAAGTTTTAGGTAGTTCACACGGTAATTCAATTAAATTATTGTTCATCTCGTGTTTTCCACAGCAAATCCAAAATTAAAACTTAATTTGGAATAGTGAGTCACAGGCTCTTCTTATTCATATGTGAGATACTCTCATAATTCTAGCTATGAATTCTAATCAACTTTGTTCGAAGAAAACCTTAGTAAACCGAATATTTTTTTTATCGTTATTTTACATCGCTTCGACCCGGTTAGGGCATACTGCGATGAGGATCAAGACTTTAAATGGTTAGATCGCACCATTCTACCCGGCCGGGATTTGAACTCGGAACCTTTCAAAAGGGAATATTAAGAAAATAGAATTATTCTATTTTCCCCTGATCCAAATGATTTGGACAATTATAATTCGTTTATTCATCTTTTTCCAAAAGAGAAATTTTCCAAAAGAGATCATAGAATTTCTCATAAAGAGAGTCCTTTAAAAAAATTTTATACCTCTTAATTTCCTCATTTTTATTCCCGTCCTTTGTTTTTTTATTTCAGGCTGGAAGATCAACAGCCACTTTATACTCTTCATGGACACTGTGGTCCCATTTCCTGTCTATTTATCGACAGAATGAGTCCCATGACTTCTGGCAGTGGTTCCCAGGATGGACTTCTCTGTGTCTGGGATTTATTGACAGGTAAAATAAATTCATTTCTCTAACAAAATAATTCATCTATCCTATTTTTCCAGAATCTCAATATCTGTTATGATCCCAAAGGAAAAATTGTCAGGAAATCTTTCTCATACATCATGAAATGTTCTACGAATAAATGATTAATGTTTCTAAATTCCATCTTTCGTCATATATTTACAAAGTAATCTGCAAATATATTCTGTACTTCACCTCTGACCTGTTCATTCAATTTTATTTAATAATTCAGTCCAACGAATTAAAATCAATGTTCTCGTTGTCTCTAATTTTAGGGACGTGCATGTACAGCATACATGCACACGATGGAGCTGTGGCGGCAATAACGTGCTCAGCTTCGTACGTGATAAGCATTGGTACAGACGAGCGTCTCTGCGTTTGGGAACGATTTCAGGGTCATCTACTTCACGCCCTACCGGCTCACAGGGCAGCCTATAGTCTTCAATTAGTCATGCTGACACATCAGTTACTCATAACTAGTAATCAGGTCAGTAAATAACTCAATATAATATCCAAATCATGAAAGAACGACTAAGCAATTTAAAGGAAAACAGCAAAAAATTGTGTTTACCACTGAGAATATTCAATACTTTAACTTTTTCTTTGAAATTCTCATGTGTAGTTGGACATCAGGGCTGGTATTTAACTTTGAAGGTCTAAATTTGATTCTCAACTACAACTCGATTTCATGCAAAAAGAATCAATGGATTTTGTTTAATTTTTTGAAAAACAAATTCATTTTTTAAAATTAAATTTCGGAAAAATCTAATTACATTTACTGAAAAATAAAGTTCTCTCGTTCCTTCCCCTTCTAATTTATAAGAAATAATTTTAATCATTTAATTATTGATTTTGCAGGGTTCTCTCGTCGTTTGGGACGTGAGAACGGGCGAACCAATGAGAGAAGTACGACTAGATCACAAAGACAGTTGTGTTTACGTTAAACAAATGATTGCACTTAGGGACAGCGTCGTTTGCGACTTTGGTCGACAGCTGCGTATAGTCAGATTTCCCTTAGTCTCTGATAAGTTGGACTGAACAATTTTTATCTATATATTTTATTAAAAGAAAGTAAGAAACTACTGTACATAGATCATCCTCAGTGCCCGAATGACTCATTATAAATTTTTTAATACAAGCATTGCTTTGACCCTCTCCTCACCTCTCCTCACCCCAAATATATACACGAAGAAAAAATAATCAACTAAAAATTGTGAGCAAAATTGCTGAAAGGTACCAAAAATATTGATTAGTTATTGCTTCTCAATGGAAGCGTTTTAATCGTTGATTTGATGATCTTGACGATGTCGTAAACTCCAAGATATCACTTTTTTTGAAACTGTGTGAATTTCAGCGCAAAAATCAATTTCTCAAAAATCTTTTTTCTTCATCATCTCAAAGACTAGATGACTGAATTAAATTTTTTTACGTTAAATATTCTTTGCAATAATATCTATCAAATGAAGTCACAATATCTCTACGTGACCAGGGAAAGCTTGATAATAATTGGCGTTTTTCATTTTTTAGATAAAATCGATGAATACACGTTAACTCCCGAAAAAAATGAGATAGGAAGTTGAAATTTTGTGAGATTATAGCTCTTATGGTATTATAGGATGGACTTGCGAAATCGGACAAGTAGTTTAGCAGATATTCAACTTTTTATGCAACTGTTTTGCTCCATATCTTCGAAATCACTGGTCCGTTTTCATTTTTCTTATATTCGCCTTGTTTTCACAGTTGTCCATCAAAACTTCAAATTTTACTGTCCATTTGACGAAAAATACAATTATAAAGGGGATAACTTATCGTTTGCCTCGCATTTTTCTCTTTATTTTCAAATAAAAGTTACCTAGTTTCTACAGTAATTTTTCGCGTTTTTTTCTTCGTGTGCTTCTTTACTTTCCTCTCTTAAATCATCATTATTACTAATTGTCATTGAGCGTGCGATTGTGAGCTGAAGAATGTGATTACGGAATATATGTTGATGAAAATTTAGGTAATTTTAGGCGAACGGCTGTGCAAAATAATGTTGATAGTTTCATCAATGCTTGAAGCCAGATGTATATCATCCATTTGTTTTTAATTCAATTCTCAATTGATGTTGTTGAATTTAATGAGGGGAATGATATTATTGTTCAGGTCCTTGCAGTGATTTTTTTCATTGGAGCGCATGTTGAAATATGAAAAGTGAATGAAAATGTGTGCTTTTTTTCATCCTTTAAACTGGCAAAGAATCTGAATGTTTTGTTTTTTATTCACATTTCATACCAACAATAAAAAAAATACCATGTTAATTTCAATTATGGGATTAGCTCAGAAGACAGGTGCCTTACAGCTAATGTCAGGAGAATTTTTTGAAAATCTGATAAACTGTAGAAAATATTTCTAATTTTTCCTTTTGAATCCACTAGTTTCTGGGATAATTCCATGATTAAAAGCATGAGAAATGTTCACTCGTTAATTTTTGTCTCGTCAATGCAAAATTATTTTTTTTTTCAAGTTATAACTGATATATCATAAATATTTGGTAATGAAGGCTTCGTTGGGTGATTATCAAGAAAAATATATTTGTATACTGCATATTGATAATATACGAGTGAACTTTCGTGAAATTATGAGAAATCGCCCATTTTTAATGTGTCGCTGACTGAAGGCAGATGAATCGTAGGGGAATTTACGGAACAAAACATATTTTTAGACCCATCATCAATAGTGAACTGTAGCTATTGATAACTTCAGGTATCTTATTTTATTGATTATGGAATTATCTCAGGAATGAGAGATTTTGAGGCGAAATATCAGAACAGTGTTTTAATCAGATGTTTTTTGATATTTTCCTCCAAAGTGACTTACTCGTGCGATAATTCCATAGTAAACAAAAATTTCATGTGGAAGAGTTCATGTTCAACTAGTAGAAAATGGAAGAAAATACACCTGGCATCGCTTAATTTATAATTTTGCATTTTTAATATTTGAGAGTGCCTTTATAAAGTCCGTCGCGTTTTTTTTTATTATCATTTCTTGAATTTAATAGTTGAATGGGGAATGGCGAGAATTACACTTCACTCTCAAGTTATTCTTGCGAAATGTCTGGGGGTCAATGAGACGATGAGATTTGTACCAGGACTTTTTTGTAGCATTCAATGACTACAAGAGATTTCTTGATAGAGAGTCGTCGATGTCCCTTGAATTCCAGAATATTATTCACCAACTTCTCTGACGTGTGTAATGTCGACTTTAAGATCAATGTTTATGAATCTTCAAGATATACATTAATAATTGTTAAATCACTTTTTGCAAAGATAATCAGGAGTTTATGAGAACAGAAATTTCTATCTCGATTGGATTCAAAAATATTCATCAAGAATTGTTGTGAACGTGTGACAGTTTGATTTCATGATCTCTTCTTGACAAATATTTTCAAATCCTATTCCCCTTCACTAATTCACTGAATCAAACAAAAGGAAATAATTTGTAGATATATAGTCCACGAACAATTTCATCGTCAGACGATGCGTCTGAATTATTTTTCATACTTGATAATAAATAAAAAGCGATTAAACATTGCGAATGATGACGAGCATGATTGAAGATTTTATATGAATTTAAACAAAACCTAAAATGATATTTTGATAAGGATTAGTTTAAGAGTGTCACGGGGTTCTGTAATTAGTCTTAACGTAATGATTAAGGTATTGAGAATAAATTGTACACTGCATCATGAATGGAAATATATTTTTAAGCGTGTGGCAGCTGATAATCGATGGGAGTAAGAGTTATCTGAAAATCCTTGATGTCGTGGCTGCAGATATGACAAAAATCATTCTGATTTTAGACTGAGTGTAGATTCAAAGATGAGGAAGAGATAATGGAGGAAGGAACGAATTGATAATTGTCATCGATCACTATGTCATCGATACGAGAACATTTTTTTACTGAGAAATGAATGTATTTCGTAGAATTAATATTTTCATCGACCAAAGTGAATGTTGAACGAACGTACTTGAGAAATTATTTGATTATTCATGTTTTTAGGTTTTAATGTTAATCGATTTGTCTAGGAGGACAGTCGGAGTCGACCCGCGTGAATTTTTCTATTTATTAATTTAATAATAAATTTAGATTATTGATCAGTGAGTTTGTGGTGATTTATTTGCACTTGCAATAAGTTTTTATTAGTGGATGAAATTAATGTTCAATGAAATAACAAGAAGGGAATTCAAATTTTTCGTTTCAATTTTTGGAAATATCTTCGTAAGTATATGCCTTCTTATATATTTTTATTAATTAACTAGGGGGCTACCTCCTCGGCTCGCTCCGCTCGCCAACCCCCATGTCATCCCCTGATCGTTATTCTGACCCTCGTGACCCTTATTTTGGCCCTCACGACCCTTATTTTGACCTTCATGACCCTTATTTTGAGAAGTCGATTTGCATTTGTCTAATATAGAGAGATGATAATGATTTTGGGCGAAATATCAATTCCAGAATTAAATTTTTTCGTTTCGATCATTTATCTCACATTTTTTTAAAAATATCTCCACAACGAAGGGCTTTTGCGACATAATCGCTAAAATATTTGAAATGATGGAAAACGGAAATGTAATTTTTCCCGGAATTTGAACTTTACGCACATCAGAAATAATCTGCTTCGAAAAAAACAGCTATCGATCATCTAGAGATGCCGGAAGATACCTAAAGGTATTAATAAATTTCACCGGAAATAAGCCTTGAGAATTCTCGATAAAGACAAATAAAAAAAAATACAACATTTACCTCGCGACAGCACGGAAAATATGAAATGCAGTGTTATCAATTGGATGAAGGTAAATGCCTTAATCTTAATCCAGAATCGGTGTCAATCGGTTCTGTGAATGCAGGATTAATCTTCATTACCGTGCGATTAATGAGAATGGCGATAAGTGGAATTCTGCAGATGATTTATGTTCCATACTTGAAACATTGGGACCTCGAGTCAAACTAGGATGTTTGTAATAATCTCAGACACTGTTAGATAAACGAAATTTTCCGTTTTCGTGAAATCATTTAGATTGCCGATGGATCTGTTATCTGTTCCATTCATTTTTATCAGAAATGCAATTGTGAGAGAGGTAATGAAAGCGTCGATTGAATTGTTGAATTGCCTCAGAAACAACTGATTATGAGAATTATTTCTTCAGGCCTGATTTCGGCCAATCAGAGTATAGTATTGGGGGTCATGTGACACCTCCACATCCGTTTTATTTCGATAATTCACTTCAGCACGATTGTTGAACTTCGCAAAAAATCGCTTGCAACCTTAACAACTTCATTTGTTTGTGATAAAGCTTTCGGAAAATAAATATATATTCTAGCGCAAAGTTGGCATGTTTTTTTGAACATTCGTTTTACGCACGGAACGCATTCCGGAGTTTCCGGACAAATAGTATATTGTGTTACAAGTGCGTAAAGAACCACTTTTTCGCACGCACGCGTAACACATCCTATTTTTTGTAATACCTGCCGAGTTCACTGTTCGGAACCGTAGTGGGGGTAAAGTGGTTGCTTTTGTGCACGGTGTGCGTAAA